TTTGTTCTACAGGCGCTCGCTCGGGGGTCCCAGCGCCGGCCGGGGGGGCTCAAGGCCAGCGCCCTGTGAACCCCCCCCATTGCTTTGCAGCGAGCGAGACTGGGGGGGGGATACCCCTAAACCCTGTGGGGTTATGGGGTGGTGGGGGGGGTGGTGTTGGGGGGTAAGAGGGAAAGAGACGGGGGGGGGCATGTGAGTTAGGGAGGGAGTGGTTGTTGTAGGGTGGTTGGTTGAGGGGGGGGCACTGGGTGGTGTTGGAGGGTTTGGGGGGCTGTGATTTGGGGGTGTGGTTGATGTGGGCTGCACTGGGTGTTGTTGTAGGGTGGCTGGATGGGGAGGGGTCACCCTACAGAGCCAACCCCACCCCCCCCCCGCAGCAGCAAAACCCACTCCAAACCCAGTCCCAGCCAGACCCACACCCCCAGTGCCACAGAAACACCCCAGAAGTGGAGGTACAATGTGTCCTCCCAGCGTGGGACAGCACCCACTGCAGCCCCCCCGGCCCCACGCTCCCCACCAGCAGCTCAAGGTGCAGAAGAGCTTAGATTTTAATTTAAGGGGATAAAATATCTACAAAAGAACCAAATACAGGGGCTGGTGTGAGCTAAATGTGAGCCACGATGATTTCCCATTGGAATTGAACCACCTTATGGAGCATCCTGGCTCCAGCATCCATATAGGGAATCCTATAGATGGAGAAGGGGTCATGGTCATGACCTGGTCCCCAAAACACACAGGGAGCTCATCATTCACCCTGAAACCATCCCATGCTGCCAGTGCCTTAAATACACCCTGGATAATAAGGACCAAAGGGGACAGTTGAGGAGCAGGATTTGGCCCTTGTCCTTTGGGATCTTCGTCCGGAGCTGGCTTGAGGTGGGTACCAGAGGGCAGGAATGATGCTGCTGCCGCTCAGAGCGGGTCAGGATGTGATGGCAAAGCTTTGGATTGCAGCACGGTCACAAAAGCCTTCACCTGCAAGAGAAGCTGATTGAGCGTGGCACCGGGATGGGGCTGGGATGGGACTGGGATGGCATCAGGATGTGGCTAGGATGGCACTGGAATAGCACTGGGATGGCAACTGGATGTGGCTGGAATGGCACTGGACAGCCCTGGGATGTGGCTGGGATGGCATTAGGATGTCACTGGGATGTGGCTGGGATGGCATTAGGATGGCACTGGGACAGCACCAGGATGTGGCTGGGATGGCACTGGGATGTCACTGGGATGTGGCTGGGATGGCAGTGGGATGGCATTGGGATGTCACTGGGATGTGGCTGGGTTGGCAGTGGGATGGCATTGGGATGTCACTGGGATGTGGCTGGGATTGCAGTGGGATGGCAGTGGGATGGCATTAGGATGTCACTAGGATGGCAGTGGGATGGCATTAGGATGTCACTGGGATGTGGCTGGGATGGCAGTGGGACGGCATTGGGATGTCACTGGGATGTGGCTGGGATGGCAGTGGGATGGCATTGGGATGTCACTGGAATGTGGCTGGGACAGCATTAGGATGGCATTAGGATGTCACTGGGATGGCACTTGGATGGCATTAGGATGTCACTGGGATGGCACTGGGATGTCACTGGGATGTGGCTGGGATGGCCCTGGGATGGCTGCGGTTTAAACCAGCCTGCACCAAGGGTGTCCAAATGATTTTTCCCATGGCTAGATGAAGGTGAGGTGGAAGCTCGGAGGATCCCACAATCCCGGGATGCCGCCTCGGCCATTCCCACCTGTGCCATGAGGCCGCCCCGTGCGGCCACGTCGTGCTCAAAGTCCTTCTCCACATCCAGCACCAGGACGGGCGCGTGCTTCATGTCTGCAAAGTGGACCCTGAGGAAGGGAATAAACCAGATCAACCCCAAATCAAACCCAGCTCCGGCCCATGTGCCGGGGGCAGCACCACGGGATGGGCTCGGACTCACTCCGTGCTCTTCTCCACCAGCCACTGCTCGTGCTGGGCATGGAGCTGCTGCAGGTATTCCAGCTGGATGCCCTGCTCCTCGCTCCTCGCCCGGCGCCGCAGCCGCTCCAGGCACGTCTGAACCACACCGGAGGAGAGAGGGGAACGGGATGTGAATGGGAGAGATGGGAAGTGAATGGGATGAGGAAGAGATGGGAGGTGAATGAGGGAGACAGGAGATGAATGGGATACAAAGGAGATGGTAGGTGAGTGGGAGAGGTGGGAAGTGAATGGGAGAGGATGGGGGGTGAATGGGATGTGGAGGAGATGGGAGGTGAATGGGAGAGGTGGAAGGTGAAAGATGAGGGGTGAGCGAGATGCAGAGGAGAAGGGAAGTGAATGGGAGAGGTGGAAGGTAAACAGGAGAGATGGGAGGTGAACAGGGTACGGAGATGTGAGGTGAACGGGAGAGATGGGATGAGAATGGGATCAGGAGGAGATGTGAGCTGAATGGGAGACATGGGGTGTGAAAAGCAGCCCCACGTGAGGGACTGCAGCCAGTCATCAAGCATCCCGGGCTGATGCTGCAGCCCTCCCTCCCCAGAATCCACTCCAGGATCATAGCCAAACCCCCACTGACATTCCCATGGGAACAGAGCTGCCGTTTATGGTTAAACCCCAACACTTTGGCAATTCCAAGCGCTCACAGGCTCAGTGGAGCCTCATCCCAATCCCGCCGGACGCGGGGTCTCGCTGCACCCACCTGCGGTGTCGCCCGCAGGTACAGCAGCCCATGGAGCACGGTGCGGGGCCCGAGCTGCCGCAGCAGGAAGCTGTGCCAGTCCTGGTAAATGGCCCATTCCAGCGGCTGCAGGTGCCCGGCCTCGGAGAGGTTCTTGGCAAAGACGTACCTGGGATGGGATGGAGAGAGGGGACAGGGCAGCGGGAGAGCTCCACAGCCAACACCTTCATCACAGAATGGTCTGGGTTTGAAGGGATCTTAAAGCTCATCCTTATCTGCCTGATCTCCAACCTGAACTTCCCCTGTTTCAGTTTGAACCCATCACCTCTTGTCCTATCCCTACAATCCCTATGAAGAGTCCCTCCCCATCATCCTTGTAGCCCCCTTCAGACACTGGAAGCTGCTCTGAGGTCTCCACGCAGCTTCTCTTCTCCAGGCTGAACAGCCCCAATGTTCTCAGCCTGGCTGCATACAGGAGCTGCTCCAGTCCCTGAGCATCCTCGTGGCCTCCTCTGCACTCGTTCCAACAGCTCCATGTCCTTACATTGAGGGCACCAAAACCGCACACAGTGCTGTAAGTGGGGTCTCACAAGAGCAGATCACCTTCTTCAACCTGCTTCTTTCGATCCCTTCATCCCTCTTCTTTCCTGTTTCAGTTTGGGTACCTGTCGCTGTAGATGGAGCGCTCAAAGACCTGCACAGGGCTGGGCGTCTCAGGCTCATCCAGCGGCTCCAGCATCGCCTTCAGCCGGCTCATGAAGGAGAAGGTCTGGAAGGTGTAGGACCATCGGGCTGGCTCCTGGTACATCATCTGCAGAAGGTTGGTGGAGCCCACGGCTGCCTAGAAGAGAAAGAGCCTGGTGATGAGATGGTCCCACCGCGGCGCGATGCCCATCGGTGCCGCCGTGCAGCCGGTGCCGGTCCCGTTACCTGCGCCGCGCCGCGGGCTGGCACCTTCTGCCACTGGGCCACCGGTTCGGTCACCAAGTGCCACTCGGGGAAGGTGGCACCCAGCAGCTTCAAGAAGGTCGATTTCCCCACGGCTATGGGGATGGGGGCGCAGGGTGAGGGGGGGTCCCCCGCTCTGCTCCTGCCATGCAGTAACGCGGGGTTGGGGGGTGCCCCCAGCGCCCCGCAATAACAATTAATCACTGACGTTCAATTAGACCCGGAGAGGTTTCAGGCTGCGCAACAGCCCTCCAATACCGGCTCCCCCCCCCCAAAATCTCCCCCATGGACCCCCCCGCACCCCAAAAGCCACCTCGTCACCCCGGGGGACCCCCGCTGTGTGTCGTGTCCCCCCCATCCCGCTACCGATGTTCCCCTCCAGGGCCAGGCGCAAGGCGGCCCCGCACCGCCCCATCCCGCCACCGCTTCCGCCTTCCCGCGTCATATGCTAATGAGGTGGTGACGAGCGGCGCGCGTTGGCGCGCCCTGACGTCACCGCGCGGGAAAGGAGAGGGGGGGGGAGAAGGAGGAGCAAGTTAGACCCCGCCCACTGCGTGTATTGGAGTTTACAGTCATCAGCATGGCAGTGGGGGCTCCACCGTGAGGTCAAGGGCCCCGGTATGGGATTGAGAGCATCTGTATGGGGTTGGAGGCATCAACACGGGGTTGAGGGCATCAACATGGGGTTGGAGTCAGTAAGATGGAATCAAGGGCATTGACACATGGTTGGAGGCATCACCCTGGGGTTTTGGGTCATCTGCATTGGAAGATGGTAGGGGGCATCAATACGGGGTTGAGGCACCAGTGTGACATTGGGGACATCATCATGAGATCAAGGGCATCAACATAGGGTCAGGGGCACCAACACAACAATGGGGCACTAACATGGGGCCAAGGGCATCAATACGGGGTGGGAGGTATCAAGATGGGGTTGAGGGCATCGGTGCCAAAGTGACTAACACAGAGTCAAAGGCATCAGCATAGGGTTGGGGACACCAAAGTGGGGGGTTAGGTCACTAACATGGGATCGAGGGCATTGGCACAGGTCTGGGGACACTACCATGAGGTCAAGAGCATTAACACATGGTTGGAGGCATCAGCCTGGGGTTGGGGTCAGCTGTACTGGCATGGGATGCCATCAACACAGGGTTGAGGGCATCAGTGTGACACTGAGGGCACCAACATGAGGTCAAGGCCATTGACATGGGGTTGGAAGCATCAACATGGGGTCGAGGACAAAGAGAGCTTTGAGGCCATCAGCATAACATCAGGAGCACCACTATGGGATGATGAACACCAGTGAGGTAGGGGGTCCCCCACCTCTCCCCCCCATTACCCTCATCCTCCTTGCCCCCCCCCCCCCCCCCCCAACACCCCAAAGCCTCCCACAAAAGAGCCAGAAGATGGAGAAAAGGCTTTAATGCGCGGTGGGGAGGAGCAGTGGGGACCGAGGAGGAGCAGTGAGCCCCAGCCAGGTGGTTGGGGCCACCATGGGGTGAGGAGGGGGCTTAGAAGCATTTTCGGTGGACGATGGAGGGTCCGGCCTCGTCGTACTCGGGTTTGCTGATCCACATCTGCTGGAAGGTGGAGAGGGACGCCAGGATGGAGCCGCCGATCCACACCGAGTACTTGCGCTCCGGCGGGGCGATGATCTGTGGGGACAGGACCCAGTGTAAGGTAAATCCACCCCCAAACCTGCACTAGGAGGTGATTTCGGGCGTTGGTGGCCATGGGTTTGCTCCCCATCACCATCACCTACTTTGATCTTCATGGTGCTGGGAGCCAGCGCCGTGATCTCCTTCTGCATGCGGTCGGCAATGCCGGGGTACATGGTGGTGCCGCCGGACAAGACGTTGTTGGCGTAAAGATCCTTGCGGATGTCGATGTCGCACTTCATGATGGAGTTGTAGGTGGTCTCGTGGATGCCGGCTGACTCCATGCCTGGAGGGCAAGGGGGCTGTCAGCACCCTCACCTCTGGCCATGCCCCACAGAAGAGGCTTGTACCCCCTCAATTTGGGGTGCAAAGCAATTGGAAGAGGCCTGAATGCTGCTGTGGTGCACCTATGGGAGGTGATTGCTGGCTGCTGGGGTGGTGGGGATGTGGTCAGGAGTACCAACACAACACTGGAGGCGCCAACGTGGGGCTAATGGCATCAATAGGGGCTTGGAAGCATCACCATGGGGATAAAGGCATCAGCATGGGGTTGGAGGCACCAAAATGGGATTGGAGGCATCAACACGGGGCCAAGGGCATCACCATGGAGTTGGAAGCACCAACATGGGGCCAGAAGCACCAACATGGGACGAAGGTCATCAACATGGGGCTGGAGGCACTAACATGGGACCAAGGGCATCACCATGGAGTTGGAAGCACCACCATGACACTGGCAGCATCACCATGGGGCTGGAGGCACTAACATGGGACCAAGGGCACCACCATGGAGTTGGAAGCACCACCATGACACTGGCAGCACCAACACCTTGGTGTCCTAGGGGACCGCAGGACAACTCGGGGCGCGCTCACCGATGAAGGAGGGTTGGAACAGGGTCTCGGGGCAGCGGAAGCGCTCGTTGCCGATGGTGATGACCTGCCCATCGGGGAGCTCGTAGCTCTTCTCCAGCGAGGAGGAGGAGGCAGCCGTGGCCATCTCGTTCTCGAAGTCAAGGGCCACGTAGCAGAGCTTCTCCTTGATGTCACGCACGATTTCCCTCTCGGCTGCGGGAGGCGATGGGGAACGGGCTCAACCCGGGGCCGTTTGGGGTCCCCCCTTCCCTTCCAAACCCTGCTCCGGGCCCCGTACCGGTGGTGACGAAGGAGTAGCCCCTCTCGGTGAGGATCTTCATGAGGTAGTCGGTGAGGTCGCGGCCGGCCAAGTCAAGGCGCATGATGGCGTGGGGCAGCGCGTAGCCCTCGTAGATGGGCACGTTGTGGGTGACGCCGTCCCCAGAGTCGAGGACGATGCCTGGGAAGGGTGGGAATGTGAGGGAAGAGGCTTGGAGCTTGGTTGCTGCCCCATCACGGATGGTCCTCGGGATGCTGGTGCCCTACTCACCGGTCGTGCGGCCGGAGGCGTAAAGGGAGAGGACGGCTTGGATGGCGACGTACATGGCGGGGACGTTGAAGGTTTCAAACATGATCTGGGAGGAGGGATGAGGGCAGGAATGGGTTAGGGGGGAGCATGGGGTGTCCCCAGCTCATCCCGCCCCAACCCATGCTTGGGAAACCACAAAGATCATTGCATTGAATGGAAAAGTAGGTGGATCACTGCGGTGGGTCCATGTGAACACGGGAACGCACCACTCATTCCTCTGCCTTCATTCCTCTCATCCCTCGCCACTGGCTCCTCTGCTCCGTGCCAGCCCCTCCTGGCTCCCTAAACCCCTGAATCCCATGGTTCCAGAGCATCCATCCCCATGCCTGTGGCTCAGCAGCCCCTCACCTGGGTCATCTTCTCCCGGTTGGCCTTGGGGTTGAGGGGTGCCTCGGTGAGCAGGGTCGGGTGCTCCTCGGGGGCCACGCGCAGCTCGTTGTAGAAGGAATGGTGCCAGATCTAAAGGCAGGCAAAGAATTGGGGGGGGGGGGGGCTCACCCCAAACCGCATCTGGAGCTGGGCCCCCCCTCTCCATTCCGGTCTGGATCTCACCTTCTCCATGTCATCCCAGTTGGTGATGATGCCGTGCTCAATGGGGTACTTGAGCGTGAGGATACCCCTCTTGCTCTGCGCCTCATCGCCTACGTAGCTGTCTTTCTGCCCCATGCCCACCATGACACCCTAATGCCAGCAAGAGACGCCCTCATGAGCTTAATGGCATTGATTAAAGCAGGGTGGGGGCTGCTGTTCCCCCCCTCGGGTACCAACCTGGTGCCGGGGCCGCCCCACGATGGAGGGGAAGACGGCGCGAGGGGCATCGTCACCGGCGAACCCGGCTTTGCAGAGGCCGGAGCCGTTGTCGCAGACCAGGGCGGTTGTTTCCTCCTCGCACATGGTGGGGCCGGGAGCTGCTGGTGGTCAGGGGGGACCTGGGGGGAAAAGCTGGGGCAACGGGGGGGGGAACGCCTTAAATTGAGGGTTAAAGGGTTAAAAGGTTGGGGGGGACAGGGGGGCAACGCGGCGCCGTGTCCAGATTTGGGTGTTGGGAGGGATGGAGGCCGTGGGGATGTGGAGGTCCCCAAAGTCATCTGGTGGTCATGGAGAGGGGCAGCCGCTGGGTCCAGCCCTGGCTTGTGGATGCTGAGAGCAGGATGCAGCTGGGAATGGGATGATGATGCTGGGAGCGGGGTGATGTTGGGAGCAGGATGAGGCTGGATGGGGGATGATGATGGTGGGATAAGGATGAAGCTGAGAGCAGGATGCAGCTGGGAATAGGATGATGATGGGGGGATCAGGCTGGTGCTGGGAGCAAGATGAAGCTGAGAGCAGGATGAAGCTGGGAGCAGGATGATGATGGTGGGATCAGGATGAAGCTGAGAGCAGGATGAAGCTGGGAATGGGACGATGATGGTGGGATCAGGGTGATGCTCATTCCCCATGCGTGCTGCTCCACGCTGTTGCTTCTCCATCTTTCCAGTGCCCAAAATAGGTACCAAAGCTCCTGCCCATGCTTGCCCAGCAGCAGCATTCCCAAGAGAGTTCCGGTGTGGCTGTGCCTGGCCAGTGCCCCTGGAGCGGGCAGGGTGAAGGCAGGCAATGCCCTCTCATCCAGTCCTATTGTGGCTGCCTCTTGCTGCTCTGCCCTCACATCCTTTCCCAAAAATGGGAAAAAACCATCCCTTCCCAAGGGGTGTCCCCCTCCATTGGATGCGCTCCCAAATCCAGGGGGAATAAGGCAAAAACACCCCAAAACCCCCAAATCATGAGGAATCCTGGCAGAGCAGGACCCACTTTGGCCATAACCCAGCTCTGCCACCTCCATGGATTCCCCCAGCTGCGGGGTCGGGCTGGGGTTGGCACCATCCCTGTGCCCTGCAAAGCAAACCGGGGTCCCTCCCCCCCCCATCAATGCTGGGGCACCCCAAAACCCTGCTGGGGAGCTTGTCCTGCAAGGCAAAGGGGATGCAGGGGCTGGGCTGTACTCACCGCAGAGGCGAGGGCTCCTTTCCTCTGGGACCGAATCCCGAAGAGCCTTTGGTATAAATACGTGAAGGCTCAGAGGCGGGTCCTGCCTAAACAAAGACCCTAAATAGGCTCAGTGATGGTGTGTTGGCCTTATGGCCATATAAGGTGCTTTATTTCATTAACTTGACCTTGGGCTGGTGGCCGGGCCCGGCACTGTTAATTATTGCAAGACAAAAGCCATGTGGAGGCACTTGGGAGGCGAGGACTCACCCCTGAGTCTGCTCCTTTTATGCTCCATGCTGATAAACAAGAGAGACTCAAGTCCTTATAAGTGATGGGCTCGGCAAAGAGGAGGTGGGACCACGGCTGGTTCCTGGGGACAACGTGGAGAAACCTCATCCGGGTGTCAGGGGGGACGCCGTGGGGCTGGGGTGGGGATTTGGCATCACTGAGGTGATGGGAATGCGCTGGGTTGGAGCATCGCTTCCTCCTGGGTTCGTTCTCCCCCCATCCCCAGTGTGCAGCATCTTCGGGATGGGGTCTTCTCTCTCTCTGAACCCATTCTGGGGCTTGTGGTGCCCCCAGACCCCCAAATTCTCAGCTCAAGGGTGCCCGCATCACGGATGCTCACCTCCTCCAAAGGATGTTGGATACAGGATGAGCCTGGATCCCCACCAGGGGCAATGTGGGTGCTGCTCCCTGTCCCCTGTCCCGAACGCAGCACGGATGGAGCCCACTCCAACCCTGTAGATGCAGCTTTGGCCTTTCCAGAGGCCAACCAGCAGCTGCCAAGCCATCGTCTGCCTTTTTAAGGGCAATGGTCCCGCATTGGGGATGCTCCCCGAGCACCCAGGACACCGGGGGGGGGAGGCAGGATTGATGCCCCAAAACCACCATCCAGAGCTATGGGGCTTGGGTTGCAGGTGGGGAAACTGAGGCACGGGGTGCCCCAGCTGCTTCCTGCTTTGCTCTATAGGGTCTGGGTTGTGCTCAGGGCAGGGACATCAAGATAAGGACCAAGAGCTGCAGGGTCCCAACACTGCCACCAGATGGGACATGCGAGTCCTGGTGTCCCCCCCCAACCCCAGCCCCAACAGACAGGGTCATGGCGTGTCCCAGCACAACCAGCTCACAACAACCCCCCCATGGGTCCCGGGTATCCCCCGTCCTCAGCACACAGGGGCTGGATTTGTGCCCTGGATGTGCACTTGTTGGTGTATCCCTACCACACGCCCTGAGGAACCTTCCTCCACCTCCCATCCCAACCCAGTTCCCTTGGTCCACTGCCAACCATGAGGTCACCCAGACAAAAGGTTGCCATATATGACATGCTGGGGGAAATAAAAGAGGCAGAATTAACCCCAAACCCAATGCGGGGATGGGGGGAAGAAATAATGGGAATGGATGGAGGTCCTCCAAGGCTGGTGCTTGGAGGCTCCATACGGAGGGAGCACGGATGTGCTGGGGGCTGCATGGAGCCCGAGGTGAGCCCAAGGACCCCCCTGAATGGGTGCAAAGCACCCCAAAGCCCTGCTCCACAGCACAAAGTCCTGCTGCTGTTCCATCCTTGCTGTTTACCAGGCACAGGCGGGTCCAGCTCCAAGCTCCTGATCCCTGCAGGATCCCTCGGCACCGCAGTTGGGATGGATGGGAAGCGTCGGCACGGCCGCTTTGGAGCTGGGACCGCAGCAGCAAAGCCTCCAAGCAGGCAGGAGCAGGCGTGCAGCCTAAAAAGGAAAGGTTTGGCCATCGCAGCCAATCCAGCCGCCGGCTCTGCCGGTGCTTGGGAGCATCGGGAGCGTGGCCACAGCCCTGGGATGCTCCCAGGAACGCCAAGAATCCCCCAGCACCGGCAAAGCTGGATGGATGTGGGATAAAGGAGGGGGCAATCCCTGCTTTGTGTGGGTTTCAATACTCCCGGCCCTCAGCACCTCCCTATAAGGGAAATGTTCACGCTTTAAACCTCGCCGGCTGCTGCCTGGGATGGACAAACCAGCGCTGGGAGCTGGAGCAGGGATTTGGGTCTGTTCCCATCCCTGAGGCGCAGATAAGCATCATTCCCTGGCTGCAGCACACAGAACCTGGGCATAAACCCTTCCTGCAACGGGTGGTGGCTGTTAGGGCTGCTCCTACCAACTGCAACCCTGTTTTAAGGTGTCTCCATCACATTCGGAGCAGCCGGAGATGGGATGGGTTAGTAGGACACAGGGAGCAGCGCTCATCCTGACCCGTAACTGGATGACTCAGTGGCTTTAAGTGATAAAATGTGATTCAAAAGGCAGGAGCTGGCTCCTGACGTGAGGAACACAGAAGCATCTTTAGTCATGGGAAGGCTGATGAGGGAGGTAGCGCTCTGCCACCAGCTCCCCTCTGCTCAATGCTGGGGTCAACTCAAGCCTCAGCCCTTCAGGAATGACGAGCTGAGATAAATTCACCACCAATTGGAAGGAATTGCTGCTTTGCCAGATGGGATTCAACTCTGCTGCTATGGGGGTGAAGAGCAGAGCCTCCATCCTGCACGGAATCAACCAGGTTGGAAAAGAGCTTTGAGCTCATGCAGTCCAACCCTTCCCCAGCACCGCCACGGCCACCACTGACCCGTTAGAGCTTTCTCTTCTCCATCTGAACCCCCCCAGGTCCCTCAGCCCTTCCCCATCACCCCTGTGCTCCAGGCCCTGCACCAACTCCATTGCCCTTCTCTGCCCCCCCTCCAGCCCCTCAATGTCTCTGTTGCAGTGAGGGGCCCAGAGCTGAACACAGGATTCGAGGTGCAGCCTCACCAGTGCCCAGGGCAGGGGCACAATCCCTGCCTTGGCCCTGCTGCCGCACTGGTGCTGATCCAGGCCAGGATGCTGGGGGCTGCCTGGGCACAAGCTGCTCATGTTCAGCTCCATCAATCAGCACCCCCAGCTCCTTCCCCATGAGCCGTTCCCAGCCATAATTCCCCAAGCCTGGAGCGTTCCATGGGGTTGTTGTGACCCAAGTGCAGGACCCGGCCTTTTGCCTTGTTGAAGCTCATGGAGCTGTGGGACGAAGGAGTGTCTTCCACTGAGGCTGCAACACACACCCCCGAGCGTGGTTTAAATAAATCAGGGCTGAAAGCTCCCACAGATGTCCTGAAGTCCTGCTTCCCAAAGCCAACTGCACTTTGTCACGCAGGAGGTGGTTGCTGCACATAAACACCCCTCTTAAGGAACGGGTTCCCTCCTGCTCTCAGGCATACCAGCCCCACTGAGTTAGCTCAAAGAAACCAAGAACCCAGCCAGGATAATACAATCCATCTGTGTTAAACTGCACCAAACGATGTGGGATGTGGAAGTACAAGGATGTGACATACAGAACACGTATGTATGCGTGCCAGGTGGGAAGGCAACTCCAGCCTCTTCGTCCTCCCCTCACGGCCATGTGCTGATCATCAGAGCATCCTGCCAGAGGATGTGGAGATGTTGCGGATCATGCTCAGGCCTTTGAGGCCAGATGCCTTCCACCTTTCAGTGCTGCTGCTTCCCTTTCAGCGAGGGTGGAGGCTCTGCCATGGACAGGCTGGGAAGCTTGGAATCCCACCAAAGGAACTGGGAGGTCCCCGGCTGGTACCGCACCACAGCAATGTCACGGAGCGCTGGTTTTGGCAAGGACAGACTTCACAGTGCTTGGAGAAGCGTAGGGACCATTGGCCATGATGATCTTGGAGGATCCAAGTGGCAAAAGCTGCTGGAGTCCCACCTCAGAGGTGTGGTGGCCTTGCAGAGCCTTCACAGGACAGCAAGAGACTGAGAGCTTCATCCATGGTAACAGCAGCAACGAGCTGAACCTGAGCCCTCATCAGGCAGCACAAGGCCTGGAGCAAATCCCTCCTCCAGGAAAAGGAATAAAGCAACCAGACCCCCCTCAGCAGTGCTGCAATGAAGCAGCTTGTGCATCAAAGCACCTTCTCCCCCGTAACAGGGGTTCCCAAAGCAGTTTAAGCCCCTTCCTACCTCACTAGGCAAAGACCTGAGTACCAGCAAGCAGGGCATGGTCTGGCTCAGCAATGATAAGCTCTGGCATGGGGTAAGAGGGGTTAGGAAGGTTTAATCTTAAACTAAAACAAAGACTTACCTACTCCAGCCAGCTGCACTGGGACCACAGCAACCCAGGGAGGCAAAACATGGGTTTAGCAAGGGTTAATCTGGGCAAATCCCACTTTGGAAAGCACTTGAAGAGGTTGTCCCAGCTCATGTTTGCAGCGAATCATGAGGAATCCCCTCCCCAGAAGCTATTTAAGCCATAGATTAGAGTATTAAACAATTGCTGTTAGCTCCCATCTCTGAATTCCCAGTTAGCTTCTCCCCACACCCTGAACCTCAGCACCACTTCACCAGTCTGATGCCAGGCACTGAGGTTTCACATGCTCCCACTGAGGTCAGGGCACCGATTTCACCGCGTTTATTGGGGGAGGAAGGGGAAGGATCACTACACGGTGGAAATCATCTGCTACAGGAGACAAAACCAATTCCCTAGGCTCAGAAACTGGGTAGATGCTTTCCTGTATGTGCTTAAGGCAAGAGGCCTATCGGAGATCCATCAGGACTACGTCTCTCTCGACTACTGACACGTGATTGCAGGTCTGAAAGAGAAGGGAAGAGAAGGAGGGGACAGGGGGGTTATCCAGATGTTATCCAGCTCAGGTGAGCCTCCTGACACCACCTGCACCCAGGGTACTTCACAGAACAGCCCTCATGGACCAGGAACCAGTGCCCTGCCCAGTGCCACAGGGACCATAGCAAGACACAAATACACACCCCAAGCCTTTGCCACCTCCTCGACCTGTTTCTGCTCTGCATCGCACCAATATGCACTAACAAGAGCGAAAGCTCCCGCACCTCAAATCTAGAAGATCCATACCCTGCCAGGCTGACCCTCCTGTCCTGGGTCACAGCCCAGCACAGACACAGGCACCAATTCAACTCGTGGTCCTGCAGCCCTGCTGCCTCGTGGGGTCACTTACAGTGAAGAGAGGGGGGTCTTTGGAGTGCGGGTGGAATCCTTTCTGCCGGCAGGAAGAGATCTCGTCCAGGCCATGCTCTGTCAGCTTGAAAAACCCTGTCCTAGAGCAAATAAACACAACCTCTGTGTGGCTCAAGCCTCTGCAAAGAGAAGCCCCTCTGCTGGGTCTCAAGGAGCACGCTTGAGCCTGCTTATCTCAAGTGAGAGCGGACAAGGATGCTGCAGGACACCCACGTGCCCAGAGCCTCCTCTCCACAGCCCTGCAGCTGCAGACCAGTCTCCTTCCATAGAATCCAGAGTCACAGCATGGTTTGTGTTGGAAGGAGGCTTAAAGCTCATCCATTTCCAACCCCTGCCATGGGCAGGGACTCCTTCCACTAGAGCAGCTTGCTCCAAGCCCCTGTGTCCAACTTGGCCTTGAGCACTGCCAGGGATGGGGCAGCCACAGCTTCTCTGGGCATCCTGTGCCAGCGCCTCAGCACCCTCCCAGGGAAGAGCTTCTGCCTAAGAGCTCATCTCAGTCTCCCCTCGGGCAGGTTAAAGCCATTCCCCTTGGCCTGTCCCTACAGGCCCTTGTCCAAAGCCCCCTTCTACAGGTGGGCATCCATTGCCCAGATACAACCCCCCCAAACCAGCTCAGAAGAGCTGTCAACTCACACGTGCTCTTCCAGCCTCATTTGATGACTTGATGCTTTATACCCACATCAGGAATCCGACAGAGGAAGGGCTGTGGTAAAGACCCCTTCAATGCCTCCTTTTGGTGGGTCATCACAGGCAGAGGGAAAGGCCTTCCCTACCCACATCCATACTTACTCCTGGTATTTTGGAGAACACACGATAGCAATGGACTCTGGCAACATCATCTGGTAGGAGCAGTGTGTGTGCAGGTCGACGCTGGAGAGGAAGGCTGTCTGCGTGGGGTGAGTCTGCAACACAGGACAACATAAGAGAGGAAGTTAAGGCAGGGTTGGAGAGCTGGTCCAAAGGGACCGTGTCCAACAAGGGAAGCAACACAGCTCCTTGGATGGCACAGAGAACACACTGAAAAGAGGTTTAGATTGTCCCAAAACATCTCCTCTTTCT